AAAATATCTATGGAGGATGTGGGTTGGCTTGCTGTAGATTGGTAACACTGTCCACAGCAAGCAAGAAATAATAATAATAGTAATAATAATAATAATAATAATAATAATAATAATAATTTTTATTTATATCCCGCCCTCCCCAGCTGAAGCTGGGCTCAGGGCGGCTACAAACAATAAAATAGTACAACATACCAAAATCATTCATTATAAAATTAACTCAAATCAAACTGATGGCAACCACTGGGCCAGAGCTCTGTGAAGATTGCCAAAGGAGGGAGTCAGGCTGTGCCCTGACCAAAGGCCTGGTGGAACAGCTCTGTCTTGCAGGCCCTGCGGAAAGATGTCAAGTCCCGCAGGGCCCTAGTCTCTTGTGACAGAGCGTTCCACCAGATCGGAGCCACAGCCGAAAAAGCCCTGGCTCTAGTTGAGGCCAGCCTAACCTCTCTGTGGCCTGGGACCTTCAAGATGGTTTTTTTTTATGTGCAATGTGTAACTTTTCTTATTAATGGCAAAACATTTTGTCATATTTTAAACACAAGTTTGCATTTTCTTTTGGTTGTTTTGCCATCCCATTTTACAAAGTGCAACCAAAAGGCTCCCCTTGCATCTTTTTTTCAGTCTTTATAATGAGATCCAGTGTGACATAATGGTTAGAATGTTGGACTACCATCTGAGAGACCAAGGTTCAAATTTCTACTCAGCCATGAAGCTCACTGGGTGAGCTGGGCCAGTCACCCTAACCTACCTCACAGAGTTGTTGTGAGGTTTAAATGGGGAAGAGAAGAACCATGTACACCCCACTGAGTTTCTTGGAAGAAAAAGCGGTATGTAAATGCAAGAAATAAATAAAACACAGGGGAATAGCAAGATAACTGTAAAATATATGAAAGAGTAATAAAAGCACCCCCCCAATAGCTCTTACAGAAACATCTTTGCATGCCTTTCCATTTAGAAAAAGTGTTAAGATGAAGAAGGGAATAGGTTAGGAAAGAAATGTAGCTTTGGGGCATAGGTCACAATGACTTTGTTGTGACCACACAATGACTTCTCAAGTAAATCATTTTTAGAGGTTCTGTTTACAATCAAGCAGCATATAAATTCTGTCAAATTAACAAATTATCTAAAATGGGCTATTTTCACTTGGAGGATGCACCTATGAAGAGAGGGAGGGAGGAAGGGAGGGAGAACATAAACAAACTCTGACACTTTTATTTTATGCAGCTTTTCAGGTGAAGTAGTCTAATGACAAGAACGTTTCATCTGTATCGTGAACAAAGGTATTAAGAAGTCCTGACAAATCACACCTTGAAAAACAAATATTTATCCTCAGAACCACTTGTTAACCATAAATCCTGAGCATGCCCCTTAAAAGTAACCTATCTTGAAAGTACTAGTATACAATGTTAGCATACAAATGTATTCATTTTCTTTCAAAGTGTCGATGCAACACCAAAAATTCTTCAAATATTGTGATCCTGTGCAGTCCTGAAAGACTGAAACATCAATATTATTAACTGGTTAACACAAAAGGTAGCTAAAATATAAGAAGGCTCTATCCTTTACTGCTGACAATTTAGCTTGAATTGAAGCCATTCCTTAATGTCTTAAGAGATAATCTTAGCAAGGACCAATAGGAGGACAGGCTTGATATGAAAAAAATAAAAGAAACAGGATGGTGTATAAGAAGTTTGGAAGAGCGGAAGAAAAATACATATGAAGAACAAAAGGAGACAAGGAGAACAAACTGGAGGACAAAGGACAAGTCAACTATCCAGTGTCTTGCACCACTAATGAAACTAGATGTTTGGTGATTTGTGTAGGGTTGGGGATTTGGCACTCAGTTGAACAGGGAGATTGTAGGTTCACCTGGGAGTAACATAATGTCTGATGTGTTGGGGTCTGATTTCGCTAAGATTTCAACTTGAAATAAACTGAGTTTTGAGGAAGCTTAACTCAGTTTTCTGGCAGGGACAGTTGGTCTCATCACTAGTGGTGAGTTGGTGATGAGTGTCAATAGCTCACAAGCAAAGGTTTCTGCTGAGTAGTTTTTCCACCTATAGAGGAATGCTTAGTTCGCCTTAACAAATACAAAAATGACTAGCTCAAGGCCTCTTAGATGATGACCAACAGCCTGGAAGGATTGCCATTGCCTGATGAAGAGCATCTCTGATCTAGCTGCTGCACATCATTAGCTCACTGCACTAGATTCATTTGTTAATCTATAATTAGCTTATCCTTTGCTCACATACTTGCTTAATTAAATCAGATTGGTTTCTTTTTTTCTTCATGTCTAGGCAAATGCTTAGTAATCTATTCTAATGGAGGTGTAAATTCTGTCTTGGTCCTCCCCACCATTAAAATGTTGGAGCCCATACCCTGTGAATATCAGATATGGAGTCTGCCTCTTTTTATTCAGAATTCAAGGAAATTTACTCCCAAGTAGTTGTGCCTAAGATTTCAGTATTCAGCTTACATTGAGTCTACATGCTTTAATATGCGACAAAATTAGGACAGAGATTCAAATACATACAAACTCCATTTTTATTATGATTAGCTAGACCCCAATTTTTCAGAATTAATACATTCTAAGCTAACAATGAACCTGATTGGGTCTTATAACCCAATCCTATATAATCTAGTTTCCTTACTTCTGATTTTTTAAAAATTACAACTGCAGCCTCAAGATAATTGGAAACTGCTGACAATTTTTTCACACACATCTATTTTCCTGTCTCCCAAAACAGATACAGTGAAGCAAAAATACTTTATGCCCTTACATCAAAATCTGAACACATTTACAAAGGTACAGGGGTTTGCCACAAGTGTACCTACTGGATTTCTAATGCTAAACCCACAAATCATAACCCTACTTTCTATCTACTTCTTTGTAGTTAAGGCTTGAGCACCACAGTGCAGAGAAAACAAATCAAATTCTGTTTCTCTGCAGTAGTTGAGACAGTGTAGTAAGAAACTTAGCTGAGAAGTTGGAGACTTCTTATATTCCCTTTAATGTGCTTCTTGAGTGGGACAAAAGGAAGGAAACAAAGTTCCACAGTGGTTCATGAAGATTTTAGCTGTGCCATCAACTGCATAAGGGCCCATTTTCTTATGTCAATTGCTACCATAAATTCCTTAGCACATGCAGGCCCATTACAGCTGTACTGGGGGGAGGGAATGAAAACCTGACTGAACACCACAGTGCCATGTTGAGATTATTGCTGCAATTAAGGAGGTGTCATTGCAGCATAGGAAATGCTGATTGATCTGCACTAGAGTGCTGTTCTCAGAAGCACCAATGAACTGGTTCAAAAGTAGGCTCACAAACCAGCAATTTGAGCTGCTTGTCGGTGTGGGGAGGTTTTTATGGTGCTCAGAATTGCAAGTGCACAACAAGCATTTCAAGGAAAGCCAGTTCAGGTATATTGCAAATGATACTTAGCCTTGCTCCAAACAGAGAGAGAGAGAGAGAGAGAGAGAGAGAGAGAGAATGTATGTATGCCAGGATGAATGAGTTAATATTGCAAGTTTGTATTTGGCATGATGAGATAATTATTACCGTCGGCTATATACCAAGCTAGGACTCAGAGGCCTATAGCTATTAACACCACTGGTATCAGTCAGATCTGCAAAGGTGTCATTATGTTTGCTAGATGCACAGATGAACAAATAGGACTCTCTCTCTTCTTGGATGTATTTGCCTTACTGTGAGTTTTCTCACTTTGTTTTGTTTATTATTTATCAGCTTGCAGGTATGATGTGAAGACTTGCATCAATCTTTTATAATCATGTACCTGGCCGTAAATAGGCTGGTGAGCCAGGGAAGAGAAGGGAAATGTGTGTCACTGATTTAGGTATTGGATGATCTTCTGTATGAATAAGTGTGAATCCTAAGAGCTGCAGGGTGGGATGGAAGTTATCTCATCTAGGACCTCATTCCCTGGAGATATCTCTCCTCTCAACAGATGCTCCATTAACTGAACAGGGTTGGTTGGGGAGGTTTGACAGTAGACACTGCATTTCCGATAGGAAGTTGCAATGCTGAAGAGTCACAAACTTTTTGGAGTGTACCAACATGCCATCTATGGCAAGATGCCACATTTCATTGCCCGCTCTGTAAGAGCTATTCTGTCCCATTGTGATTAATATACATAAAGGGATGATTCTTATGGAATGAATCCAGAATGGCCATTCAACAAATGAAAGGCACTGACATTCTGTGGAAGCTTCCTGTTAGAGGAACAGGATGAGGAAACAATTTTGGACTATTTCCACTTCTTCCCGCAGTCTTCATGACTCCTTCCTATGCTGCTCTGGAAGGACTTTTATCTGGAAGGAGGAACCTCTGGATATGGGGACAGGAAATAGAAAAAAATATATTTTCCCACTTTCTCTAGCACCAGTAAGATTCCACTGAGTACAACTCTAGATCTAACAAGATAAGTGATGTAGATGTATCTGCTTTTGCAGTGGCGTTGCAAGATAATATTCCATAGCACTATGGAAATGATAGAAGTGTACCTGTAAGTTGAAGTTGAAAGATTTTGAATTTCATAACATCAAGTACAGTAAATCCTGCAACTTTTCTCTAAAATCCTTCTGATCAAATGGTTCTGCACTGAATACATATTAATTCTTATTCTCAATCCATTGCTGATTGCTGAATGTTCTGTGCCAATCTGATGTCAAGGTGGCTATTTCCATATAAGCAAAACTCATTGTAACTAGCTAAAGGGGTGGGGGCAGTGAGAAATTATTCAGATTGTGGAGAGTATGTTCAACCCATCAATACATGATGATAATACTTATATAACTAAAAGTTATTTTGTACTAAATTCCAAAAGTGCTGGAATTCTAAGTGGACAAAGGAGTACCATGCGGCAGGGTAAAGAAGGGTGCTGCTTTAACCTCCCCTGCTCTTCATGAAAGTGATGCCTGAAGCACATTAGAATCAGAGAATAATAGAATTGGAAACTTGGAAGTAATATGCAGGAATATGCAGCTATCCCATACAGGGATCAAACTTGCAACCTTTGCATTATCAGCACCATGCTCTAACCAACTGAGCTATCCATAAACGGACACACATTGCTTCACTCTCCTGCTTGGCAAAGGTAAAGGGACGCGGGCGGCACTGTGGTCTAAACCACTGAGCCTCTTGGACTTGCCGAGCAGAAAGTCGGCGGTTCGAATCTCCCGTTGCTCTGTCCCAGCTCCTGCCAACCTAGCAGTTTGAAGGCATGCCAGTGCAAGTAGATAAATAGGTACCGCTACGACGGGAATGGTGTTTCTTTGCACTCTGGTTTCCGTCATGGTGTTCCATTGCGCCAGAAGCGGTTTAGTCATGCTGGCCACATGACCCAGAAAGCTCTCTGTGGACAAACACCGGCTCCCTCAGCCTGAAGTGAGATAAGTGCTGCAACCCCAATAGTCGCCTTTGACTGGATTTAAATGTCCAGGGGTCCTTTACCTTTTACCTGCATGGCAGGACTGGCCCTGTGTCAGGAGTTTTTTTAAGGACCTTGAGGCACTCAACATGGGGAGGTGGTGTTAGGATGCAACCTAAATGTGTATATGATGTCTGGGAGAGAAGTGGTATAAGGAAGTGAGTGGTTCAGAAGCCAAGTAACTTGGTTTAGTAGTTAATGGTGCCAATTTCACCCCATTGATTAAGACTTTACTTTCTTTTTCATTTGCTCCCACACACACTCATATAATAATTACATTTTGACAGCTCCATTGGCTACTTATTATTGTCATTCATTATTTAGAGCATTTGCACCCTGCACTTCAGCCAAAAAGACTCCCAGAGTGGCTTACGTACAATCAATTAAAACAAGATAGTCCCTGTCTGCAGGCTTGCAATCTATAAAGTATGACTGGCTCAGACCACACCTCAGTGTAGGCTGACTTGGACTTGTCTGAGACAAGATCACAGTCTAAGTACTCAGATCTTGACTGATCTGGAGGTAGTGAAGAGATTAACAACATGAGTTCAGGAATACTTCCAATTGACAGATTCCCCTGAGGTTTCCCAGGCCACACTCTGGGCCCTTCATTATATAGCTTTTGTCATATGCTGAACATATAGCATCACCACACAAAAATATATGATTGTATGATATAGCACAATTGCATAATCACAAATTAGATATTGCCCCTGGCAATGGGGAGTGGAAGGGACAGGAGGTTAAAAGTGGGGTTTTTAAGGCCATCTATTGAGTTCATGGCAGTGGCAATGCTTGGACCAGGGACTTCATCAGCTCTCCTGGGAAGCAACCCATATTGTGATACACGTTTTATCTAGTCTGCTAAAAGGCTGACAAAAATGTGCATACAGGCACCAAAGTGAGACTTTGGGAAGGAAAAAAGGAAATATTTACAGGAAGCTACAAGGCTAGTATAGGGAAGGGTATTTTACCCATGAAAATTGTATTTGCTGACTAGAGGGAAAAGTTTTTGTCGATGCCCTTTAAACTTTGTCAGCACATCACTGTCTGCGGCATAAAACAGAATGTTTCTCGTTTACACAATGCATGCTGTTTAAAATCCCTTCAAGAGGCTGATTACACTTGAAGAGGTCTGTAACCTCCAATGCTTTAATTGCTGAAAAAATAGCTTATGTAGTTAATTCTAAAAGGAGTGCAGATGTATGTGTAGTGATAGCTAAGAGAAGGCAGCTGATTTGGATGTAATGAGTGCTTTTTCATCAGTGCAAGGATGACATTTCTCATTTCCCTTCAAGTAAGCCACTTCATGCCTTTTTAATCTGTTGTTATACAAAGAGAACTGTTCCAAGCCCTATAGATACGTCATCCCTTATCCTATATATCTGTACCATCTTTCTTTTCTTTGCATTCTTCCCTTTCTTCTTTAGTCCTTCTTCAATTTTATCTGTTCATTGTTTGACCTGAGGGCCACATGTCAAGGCCTTTTTGGCGGCCCCTAGCCCTTACACTGCCTTCCCAAAGCTGGGTAAGTGAAGTGCTTGGTTTTTGGCTTGGACCAATGGATCTGGGCACAGATATTTGAGGGGGAGTGAAGCAGGTGGCCCCACACTGGTGCCCCCATCACAGCTCGGCCCGGTGCTCCTCTCTCAGCATCGGAAGAACCAACACACTGCTGTACTGGTTTTGTGGTGAGCTCCTTGCACCGTGTCCCCCTTTCTCTTGGTATCTGGCAGTGACGCTTGCCATTGGGAAGCAAGGTGATCAATGCTGCCCATACATGCACCATCCTACTGGCCACTATTGCTTCCCCCAATGGAAGGACTGCAGGGGACCCATGAGTGTGTGAGGCGAATGTATCTTGCCCTGCTATCCCTCACACCTAGTTATTTAAAGGTAAAGGGACCCCTGACCATTAGGTCCAGTTGTGACTGACTCTGGGGTTGCAGCGCTCATCTCACTTTAATGGCCGAGGAAGCTGGCGTACAGCTTCCCGGTCATGTGGCCAGCATGACTAAGCCGCTTCTGGCGAACCAGAGCAGTGCACGAAAACACCGTTTACCTTCCCGCTGGAGTGGTACCTATTTATCTACTTGCACTTTGACATGCTTTCAAACTGCTAGGTTGGCAGGTGCAGGGACTGAGCAACGGGAGCTAACCCCATTGCGGGGATTCGAATCGCTGACCTTCTGATCGGCAAGTCCTAGGCTCTGTGGTTTAACCCACAGCGCCACCCGAGTCCCACCTAGTTATTTACATGAAATCAAAAATACCTAAATAAAGCTATTATTGTCCTATAAACTGGAAATTAGAAACAAGAATTCTCTGCTTCAGAAAGCCGTCCTGGGTTGTCACTCTGTCAGAGATATTTATGACACATTTTATTCATTAGAGGGAGAGTATTCTGAATACAAAAACAGCAACAAAAACTGTAAAGGGTACATACACATACATTCACACACACACACACACACACACATCCCACTGTGCGATTTCCCACAAAAGCTGCTGAGGGATGGTGTCAGCTGCTGCCTATGAAGCAATGGAAGTGCCTTGGGTGTCTTTGTCAATCTTCAGCCTAAGGCCACTGTTGTTGGAGAAATAAGGAAGTGTTAAAAGCAGTGACAGGCAGTTTAGTCAAAATTGGTTTGGGAGTAGGAAAAGGATCATTGAGGAATAATTTGTTAGGCTCACAGTACAAGACAACAAAGCAGAGAGAATGAAAACTTTTTTCTTCCAGCGACAGAAACATAAACAGGAGAATTATGTTCCATTTTAAAGAATTAAGGCAGCTTTGGTTTGTGGCGTATAATACAAAATCACAGCACATGCTCTGTGTTAACAAAACACTTTCTAAGGGGCATTGTGTGGCACAAGTTATCCCCACGGTAGTCTAACTTGGTACTCCAGCCGAGTGATTGGAATCATGCTTAAGTTTGTTTTAAGCACACACTGTATCTAGATGGGAAAGTACTTTTAAACATGGAAACTAGAATAAGGTGTAAAACAATTAATTCTCCTATTAACTGTTCAAAGATATTATCATGATTATAGGCATGTCCTACTAATTCTGAGTAGCAGATCACTGGGGAAGAGGTCCCCAAATATTTTAGACATCAAAAGTATTTGGAGTATACATTGAGAAATATGTTAGATCTAGATCAATGCAAATTAAACATCCTGTAGCACAGAGTCCTGGGTTGCTTACTGATGTAGACAAACATGCACAGCTTACGGGTGAAAGTGTATGATTGCTTTGTTATGTACAGTGGTACCTCGGGTTAAGAACTTAATTCATTCTGGAGGTCCGTTCTTAACCTGAAACTGTTCTTATTCTGAGGTACCACTTTAGCTAATGGAGCCTCCTCCTGCTGCTGAGCCGCCGGTGCACGATTTCTGTTCTCATCCTGAAGCAAAGTTCTTAACCTGAGGTACTATTTCTGAGTTAGCGGAGTCTGTAACCCGAAGCGTCTGTAACCTGAAGTGTCTGTAACCCGAGGTACCACTGTATTGTTTTACTATACATAATGTCAAGTGAAAATGTCTCCTAGAGCATTCTTGCACAAAATCTCTATGAATTGATGCTTTGATTGCAATTCTTAGTGGCTGCCCAGACACCTGTCAAATACTCTTTACTTGGAAAGCTTTTTGAGGTCATTTTTCAGAAGTACTATGAGACCTAAGTCCTCTTTTGGCATTAATCATGGAAAGGAGACAAGTGTTACGAAAGGGAGTATAGATTTGCCACAAAAGTCAGACATCTCCTCCCTCTCCCACTGGTATAATTTCTGATACTGGAAGCCTGCTCTACATGAGAACATAAAGAAGAACTTTTCTGGATCAGGATAAGGGGCAATCTAGTTCACCACTGTGTTCTCAGAGTGGCAAGCCAGATGCCTACGGAAAGCTCATAAGCAAGACCTGTATCCCCATTTGTGCTCCCTGGGAAATTTAGAACTCTGGACTTGGCTGGGTAGAACCTGCACTCACATCATGTAAGTTCTGTGACTCACTTTTAAGTTATTCTTCACCTTTAACTTATTCTTTGCTCATAGGTCACACGGGAATATCTTTTGTGATGATCACAAGCCTAGGATCTTGAAAACTCTACCCTAAATTAGGGGAGATATTGAGGGCGGGAAATGGTGAGTATCAGTTGGGTGGATCACCAGAATGTTGGGGTGCCAAAGGCACCACTGGATTTTAAATGAAAGCTGTGATCCTATCATATCATATTGCACCAGTGAGAGCCAGTGTGGTGTAGTGGTTAAGAGAGATAGACTTGCAATCTGGGGAACTGGGTTCGCGTCTCCGCTCCTCCACATGCAGCTGCTGGGTGACCTTGGGCCAGTCACACTTCTTTGAAGTCTCTCAGCCCCGCTCACCTCACAGAGTGTGTGTTGTGGGGGAGGAAGGGAAAGGAGAATGTTAGCCGCTTTGAGACTTCTTCGGGTAGTGATAAAGCGGCATATCAAATCCAAACTCTTCTTCTTCTTCTTCTTCACCATGGAATAAAAGAAGTGGACCATTTATTACTTGCACCACCGACACCTTGCGGTACCTAAAGCATTCTTCAAAATTATCAAAGGACTAGTCCATCATCCAGTTTCCCACAGTTCAAGATACTTCAGAGAAG